CAATAGTTTGGAAAAGATCACCCACAGTTCTGCTGGGAAGTATGAATGTGTGTTCCTGACCGAACCAGAGGTGAAGCAGACTATTGAAGTCAAAAGTGAGTTCATTCAGTAATATCACCGATCAAAGCTGCATTCATCGATAGTTTTAATGTCAATTGAACTCGATGTTTACATGTGGGAGCATGTGAGTTCACATTGGCAGACTACTGCGCTCTCAGGTTGCCATTCTAGTTTGACGATGTGTTTCTCTTCTTGCCGTAGTCCTTCCCCATGTTGCTGCCTACAAGCACTCCGAGCACGGCAATGAGAATGACATAGGTGTGATGGTGTGTGTGAGCCACGGCTACCCACTGCCCACTGACTGGACCTGGTTCAAAGAGGAAGAGGGCAGCGCCCCAACGGTATTTGTTTCTTAAGCTTGGGTTATCTTGAAATGATTCATGTTCATTGTCCCCTGTACTGAACCCAGATAACGTGCAAAGAACATCAGTCAACTTAAATATTGTGATTACATTTTTATTTTATTTCCAGCACTTCTATTTTAAAGCAAAAGGAAATCATGTCAAATACCTGTCTTTTGCATTACTAACTTATTCATTAAAAATACCCCTCAGCCGATCATCAACGGCACTACCGTCAAATATGAGATCAAGAGCACCCCCAACAAGACCACCCTGACCATCAATGACCTGAGCATGGAGAACGACATTGGGGACTACAGCTGCTCTGGAACCAATGAACTGGGCACCAACTCTGATAAGATCCACCTGCGTGTGCGCAGCCGCCTGGCCGCTCTGTGGCCCTTCCTCGGCATCGTGGCCGAGGTCATCATCCTGGTGACCATCATCTTCATCTACGAGAAGAGGAGAAAGCCCGATGACGTCACTGACGGTACGCACGCCATGCTGCCGACACCACGATATACTACATCAAATCGTAAACATTGTTGAGACAGACATTAGCCTTCTTATTCACTTTTATGAGACATTGTGTCGACAACAATGTATGCCGTCATAATAAAGGCCGACAAATCGGCTAAGGAAATTGCCATCGATGCTTCTTTAATCCTAGGTCCTCTTCAATCTTCTAACTGACGTCTGAAGCCTAGACAACTCCACCACTGCTTTCCCCTTTAGTCACTGCGTTTAGTTTTTGGTGTGAAATAATGACACAGGTTTTGAGAGTAGAAAAATGCCCATATATCATGAAAAGATAGGTTTCAAATTGACTGTGGTAAAAATTACCACCAGTAGACGGTAATTTCCTACTTGTGCTCAACTTCTCTTGATGCGTAGACTAAAGGACTTTAAAGTAGCCTTTAAAGTCATTCAACTTTCAACCGGAGAAAAGGGCATCACACTGTAGGCATTGTTTATTTGGCTGAGTAGGAAAGATCGAGTGGAATCCAGAGACCGTTAGGGCAAAGCGTTTTTTCAAAGTCAGATATAAATGCTGTAGTTGCATGCATTTATTATGAACCCTTATTGTCTATGGTTTGTCTGTTATTTGTATTTTATTTTAATTATGACCAGATGTTAGATTCCCCCTTTTTGTGTAAACGATCTGTGATAGAAACTATTATTTTTATTATTTACATTTTTACTTTTCTGTTCGCTGCTGATTTTGCATTTTGGTAAGTGGACAAAACTGCATGTCAGACTGAAGTGGTTGAGCTGAGATGACCGCGTGGGAACAAAAAGCTATGGGAGTCTGAATGATCTGCTTTCATAGTCACCACTTCGAAGAGGAATGTGGTCACTCTTTCACTGGCCCTGCAATCAGAGCGAGCTTCAAACACGTTCCTTCCACTCTATTGACCCTTTTTAAAAACCATGTGTTTGAGCCAATGAAAGAGTCAAATGAGACACATAAGCTAGTGTAATGGTTTGACATGAACACGTTGAGAATTTAGAGGTTCAAGCATTCTGTCTGCATGCCCTCCGCATCTTGTACTTTATGCATGAAAAAGAATAGGCTCGGTACTTCATTTACATACGTCTCATTGGCCACAGATATGGGGTTTCTCTTGCTCTGGTCCACGCCAGGTTGTGTGTTAGCTCTGTCCGTTTTCAAAGCTGCTTTCATATGAATACAGCCAATGGCGTGTTCCTCTTGTGTCTTTTGCTTGTGTTGCATGAGCCGCTGTGATGCTAGGGACGACTGGACCATGTACACACACTTTGATTCATGGGAGTTTAAATATTATAGAGCCAATAAAGAGACATGCGCCAGTCTTTAGTGATGTGTTCTTTATATTAACACAACCAGGGAATGTGGTTTTAACATTTGCTACTATCATCTGTGGGAGAGGCATGTCTTGCTCACACCAGTAACACTGTTATTGATAACTGACTTGTTTTTGTTTTCTTCATTGACCGGTTACTGCTGTGCAGATGAGGACTCAGGATCTGCTCCTCTGTAAGTACAGTTAGCAACTCACCAACTTCACTTTCTCTCAAGATGTTGTCTTTTATCGATAACTCATGCTTGCCTTTGTGTTTTTTTTTTTCTTTCAGGAAGAGCAACTCTACTGAAAATCACAAAGACACGAATGTGAGACAAAGGAATTCTAATTAGAAGCGGAAAGAGGTGCGTAAAAGTTATTACTTTAAACTATAATTGGAAAAAGCATGTATTTCTTCCCCACTCTGTATATTAAAATAAAAATGGAGACACCTTTTTAAATTCTTCATCGTGCAACTGTTCTCTATCCTAGATGGACATCCAGACGGCGGTCCAGGACTCGGCTGTTGTGGCACATTATACCGTGCACCCTGCATTTTGAAGAACCTTTTTGTGCTTGGGTCTTAATGTTTTAAGAAACTGACTGATTTCCTTTAGTTTTCTTCTATATTCTTCTCCACATCGTGCAGCCACAGAACATAGTGTGAAGTATTTTCTGCTTGAGGCCGCTGGGCAAATATTGCATGAGTGTAAATTACCGGTATAGCAAAGTGTTTGTTTGTTGTAAAATCATTAGACGGTTCATGTGAAGAATGCCTCTTTGTGGTCATCTTTCTGTTAATGCTGACGCTTCCTTCGCTGGCCTCACAGTTGTCGGTCTGTGCTTTTTATATTCTCCAATCTGGAAGACTTCTTTATAAAACAGCACAAGTCCTGTTATGAGGACAACTTTTTTGATCCTAATCACTGCCATTTAATATCAAAACAACAAGAGTGCGTTTTTTAAATCATCCTAAGCAGAGTTTCATACTTTGCCTTTACAACCACTATTTATCTTTTATGTGCAAATGTGACACTTCAAATGAAAATCAGACATCCTTTGATTTAATGTCTTTAAGGTGTTGTTGCCATAAGAAATTACAGTTCTTTAAGTGGGAAATCATTTGTCCTTTTTAAAATCAAGCTTTTATTTTTCTGTTAACATATTTTTTACATTTTTAGTTTTTGTCACTTGTGTTTTTGTTGCTAATCTCACATCCAGAGTAAAACGTATATTCTTAAGGACTAAGTGCAAGAGATGTAACACTTGCTTATGTTGAATGCAACTTGAACACACGTGTTTAATTTAAGTACAGAAGACAAACACTTAATTGGATGTTTTTATTTCTCACTCGATCGGAGATGAGATAATTGTGTGCGATTGTTGGACCGTTGTCTCTGTTACCTTCACTGTGTAGATTATGCAGAAGCCATATGTTCCATTTAACCGGATTAGTGTTGTGATTGGATATTGCCATTTCAGAGTTACACAGATAAAAAGATCTAGCCAGAATTGTGTGAATTGTTGTACAATCCATGTAAATGGAACACCATCTGTTGCACAACTCACAAACTGATTAAAGGCATTCCATTTTACTTGTTTGTTTGTTGACTTTCTTACATTTTTCTCAGATCAAATGGTGACTACGGTCAAGAAGCACTGTGTTTGAGGAGAGCCTCATCATTATTTGTTTGTAGGATTTATCATTGTGTAATAGGTCAGTCTTAAGACAAACAGTTACTGCTATGAAAATGTGTTTTTGAGAAGATATCTAAAGCATGTCATCAGGCCTGATTCAAATGCTTTATGCCTGTTTGCCTGTCTATGATCTGAGAAGGAGAAAAGCTCTAGACTGTTTTGTGCCTAAACAAATGCACACATATTCCCCCCAAAACACGTTGAGTGTTATATTATTATTAAACATGGAGAGCACATCATTTGTAAGAACCCCACTCCAACAATGTTTTGGGTGCTTCATGGGCACAAATATGTAACAAAAATAAAGATTGAAATGAGCTCAACCGTGCTCTTATATTGAAATGACCTTATATGAAGGATCGTTATCTTTTAGAATCAGAATTATCTTGGCTAATGTCATTACGAACGTATTATTTGTTTATCGGAGGACTGGCATTTTAGGAGGCTTGATAGTGTGCAACGTGTATATTTCTCCACAAGGTGGAGCCATTTGACTAATAATCTTGAACCCTTGACCCCTGACTGTTAACAAAAAGCAACAGGCTGCTGTAAATACAGTCTCTCTGAGAGGAAAGCCTACATCTGCAATTATTATGGATCACCTGACCAGGGATTACAAATGATTGGCAGATGGTCTACCTGGGATCAGCTGTGCATGACAACAGATGGAGACCTAACCCTGACCTTCTGTCACCTTTATCCTGCCTATCCTTGCTCAGATCAGGTGAGCATATATTTATTCATAGATTTGTGATTATTAATTAGGAGTTTTCTTAATTACACTGCCAGGTTATTTTGTCCACATAGTTTATTCAATATTACAAGGTGTTTACGACCTAAAGGTGTGGTCTCTTACTCTCTCTCTTATAACACACACACACTATTTTTCTAACAGCAGCCAAGTTGCAGCCATAGCAACGCCACCGGTGCTCTGTTATCCTAAATTGGTGTGTGTGGAGAGCACAGGCTGCTGTTGAACTCCTCACTCACTCCCTCTCTCCGCCGCCGCCCAGTCTGCCAGGTTCAAGGTACGGGGAGTGTTTCTCCGTCTGTCCCTCTTCTCTTGGTTCCGCCTGTGATGGACGAGGTGGAGGACGGCGAGGAGGAGCCCAAATTCCAGCAGCCCAGACCGCCTCAGGTATACAGTTTGGATCATGGGAGCTGTGGAGGAACCAAGATGAAGAAATTTACACCAGGAGGCGGAGCCGCGTCCATTGCGCGTAAAAACTCCAACAACAATGAGCAGTGGCTCCTGCAAGAGGACGAGGACTCCGGACCTGTCGGTGCCAGTGGCAGCACCACCTCTGCTCTGCTGTGCCGGAGGGATGCTGATGCAGGGGGCGCGCTCCTAGAGGCAGGCGTGACAGGAGAAGGAGCCTTCGTTATGATATGCAACAAAAACGGAGACTGTAGAAGGGACCCGGCCAGTTCAGGGAGCCTCTCCTCTCTCATCTCCAGGCAGGAGAGGAAAACAGATGGAGTAGTGTCAGCTGAAGACGGGAAGGGACAGTTTGCAAGTATGGACGGCTCCCTCACTTCAGTGGGGTCCCTGACACAGGGGCCGGTCGCCGAGGTCAAGACCGGAGCAGCGATGGAGAAGAAGGACTCCAGAGTTTCCTTCTCCAACGCCGCAACTAAAGGACAGACTCCGAGTCAGCAGTCGAGAAATTCAATCACATTTTCCAAAGCTGAGGATGGCTCTCAGATAGTTCCGGATGATGGAGGCCTCAGGGGGAATCAGACTTACATGCAGCGGCAGTTTAGCTCCATGCTTCAGCCCGGAGTTAACAAATTCTCCCTGCGCATGTTTGGCAGCCAGAAGGCAGTGGAGAAGGAGCAAGAGCGCGTCAAATCAGCGGGTAATTGGATTATCCATCCATACAGCGACTTCAGGTATGGGTCAAATTGAGTTAGATTCTTAAACACATATATCTTATATTGAATGGTGTTCATACAGTAGAAGATACAGATCCCTGTTTGACATTAGCCAACTGTCCGGTTGTACCTTCTCTAACTTTATGTAAAATAAGAGAGAACATATAGAATAGTCATTGTATTCAGATATTCATAAATCTTCTTTGGGATTAAAATCCATATCTATCCCTTCATTTTAGAATATCTGAGAAAACCTGAAACTTGCATTAAGTGGGGTATAATCTGATCCATGAAAAACACTGTGAAAAAAAAAATATTATGGCAACTAAAATATGTCACACAATTATAACGAGCACATTTCCTCTAAAAGGCTTTGTTTAATGAGTTTCCTATTAAAGATGAACTTGATGTGAAGTCTGAGAAGTTACATCCTTGAGTCTGAATGCTTCTTTACATTTCATTTTAGCCCCAAGGACAGCTCCTCCAATTATCCCTTATAATAAGTATGACAAAGTAGCAGTCTGAAGATAAAGCCAACTATTTGAGCTCTTAACAGGCTGTGTTCAGATTTGTATTAAAATATTTTATAATATAATGTTGGTTAGTGTTTTTTGGGGGACTTATGTCAACATTCATGACTCAGCAGCACTAGTCGGCTCTCTCTCTCTCTCTCTAGACTCCCACTAACATCCAGCAGATACTTTTTTAACTAATAATCTGCTATTTATGTGCTTGATTTAATGTTCGCTGTGTTACAAAAAATCAGTTTCTTGAGGCTCAATTTGACGTCTTCCTATTTGTCTAAGCCAGCATTTCAAAGATATTCATTTTAAGATCACATTACACAAACATGCAGCAAAACTCACATTGAGATTACAGGAACTAGTGTTTTGCATTTAGAAGAAAGGATAGGCCGATTGTCAAAATAGTTGTTGGTTGGTTCTCTGTTGATGTACTGTCTCGGCTTTTAAATGAAAGGCATCACTCTTATAATGTAGCTCTTAGGTCGATTGATTTAGTATGACTAAGCATTTCAGAGGGGTTCTCTTGAGCTAAATGCAAACAACTATAAATCACAAATGGAACATTAGTGCTGGAATAACTGCTGACGCATCGTCCATCAGGAGCTTTACTGTGATAATGGGTGTCTGTGTCTTTTGTTCTTTGTGTTGAGATGAAGTGCACCCGGCTTATCTTTCCTGTTCTATTCCTGTCCCTCTGCTTGTCCTTGGCGTGACCTTGTCTTGAGTCAGATGGCATAGGTTACCTCATTAGGAGAATACAGTGCACTTAAAAAACAGGCATTTCAATACAAGATCAGCCATTTGTCAATGTTTCCCCCCCTAAATATAATCTTCTCCCCACTGCTCTACCCTAACAGGTTCTACTGGGACTTCACCATGCTGTTGTTCATGGTGGGAAACCTGATCATCATCCCCGTGGGCATCACCTTCTTCAAAGACGAGACCACGGCTCCCTGGATCATCTTCAACGTGGTTTCTGACACCTTCTTCCTCATCGACCTGGTGCTGAATTTCAGGACCGGCATCGTGTTCGAGGACAACACCGAGATCATCCTCGACCCCAACAAGATCAAGAAGAAGTACCTGAAGAGCTGGTTTATGGTGGACTTCGTCTCGTCCATACCTGTGGATTATATCTTCCTCATCGTGGAGAGAGGGATGGACTCTGAGGTGTACAAGACGGCCCGGGCGCTGCGCATTGTCCGCTTCACCAAAATCCTCAGTCTGCTGCGGCTGCTGAGGCTGTCCAGGCTCATCCGTTACATCCACCAATGGGAGGAGGTAAGCTCAGATTCAACTTTTATGATCCAATGAAAGGGTTTGTTTGTTACTCTGACCACACAGGGACAAAAGCCTTAGGTTGGAAACTAATCTTTATGATTTGATTTTAGATATATAATATATTGGAGCAAATACACAAGGGAAAAATACAGCATGAGCACCACTTTTGAGGATGTTGTGCTATATTTAGTAAAAGGAAGTTGTTATGCTAATCTATTCCATCTGTACAGCTGTCTCTGTCCGTTACCAGACTGAAATTGGGTGATATATGGGCAGATATTTCATATAAATAAAACATTTTGGTGATAATACATCAAATGTTATCACTCAATCATTTTGTTAAATATTTGACAGTAACAATACATGTCATATACATCTACTTAATTACTGTAGCTGTCAAAATAGGATAGCAGCAAACATTTTCTTACATTCAAACTTAAGAAATTGAAAATTGAATTCCTGTTCCTTTTTGGTTGATCCTTATATCGGCTAAGCAACACCGGCCAATATATACAAATCCCTGAAATATTGGAAGTTGAGATTTGTTTATTATCAATCCATATTATATAGCTATAGACTACGATCTCAAAATTATATCACTCTGTCCGTCCTCTCAGTACGCACGGTGCTTGGGGAAAAAGCCATATCATACTCTGCCCCCTCGACCTGGAACACACTTCAGCAGGAACTTAAGCTGACCAGTTTGATACCCATCACGGATTTTAAACTCATTTTAAAAAAGCTGGAGAAATCATCTGTGAGTGTTTGCACCTGCTATATGGATTTTAATGACTACTTTTTTTACGGTGTTGTATTTTAGTGTTGCCTCTGTGTTTAGTGTCCTGTCTGTCTGTAACTTGGTAGTGTTACCACTGAACAGGTCTCTCTTGAAAATGAGACCTTGTGTCTCAATGAGATCTACACCTGTATAAATAAAGGCTAAATAAAAAAATATTATATAAAGGGTCTATTAAAATAAGTCTTATCAACGTAATGCCTGCCCCTGATCACAGCCACCACTGCTGTGTTACTGATCACTAGCATTTCAGTGAAGAAGTAAGCTGCAGTTTGGTTATGACAGAGTATTCCCCCATCACTTTGATTTGTGTTTGCTCGTAAAAAGAGAGTCTGACTGTGCTCCAATTAATAATACAATATTTGATTCCAGGTCAGTGTGTTGTGAGTATACAAGTAATTGTGTTTGTACTTCAAAACAATCCTCCCTATAATTACTTCCTGACACTCAAAAACAGAGAGTTTACCTTGTTGTATAGCAATAAGCCGGATAGCTGAATAATAGCTCATTATATCCCAGTGTAGTGATGTAGTTAAGAATTCATTAAATATTAATATGTGCCTATCAGTGGGAAAGTGAAGAGGGATTTTCCCAGGAATTAACACAACCATGGGAGACACTAATTGGCTTTTTATTTGTTCTCATAACAACAGATACATTTTTCCATTTCAATAATCGTTTTAATGCAAGATTGCAACTACACAAGCTTTCTGATCTCATCATGGGCGTAGGAAGCATCCTCAATGTGGGTGGGACAATTCGACAGGGGTGTGGGCAGGTGGTGGACCTCACCTCCTCTAGGGGGGTCCAGGGGCATGCTCCCCCAGGAAGATGATTTTTTAAATATTGAAGTTAAATGCATCAATCTGCTGCACTTTGAGAGCAAAATTAGGGACAAAATCTTTGGATACATCTCTCAACACCCATATGAAACAGAACTGTAAACAGATTTACTTTTTCTTTATGCATATTTTACAAATCACTCCCCTTTTAAACTGTATTCTTGTGTTACTGTCCTATAGTATGAGTTGGAATTATTTCATACCTGTTAGTCTCTTGTTTTTTATAACTATAATGATCATATAAAGCTGTGCCTTGGAAATACTTATTTACATAAATGATTACCAAACCGTTTGAGACCCGCTACTTTGACTAAAGTGAACTATCTAAACCAGGGGTGGGGAACCTCCGTATAGGGCCCTCGAGAGCATTTGGTACGGCCCTCGAGGTAATTTCTAAACACACGCTAATTAATTAGTCTTTAGTTGAAAGCCGAGTGGCGATCTGTCATACTGATCATACAGCCAATAACTTTGTTGTTATTAGCATCTGGTTAGCTAGCTATGCTAACGAATATAAGAAGCTTTTTCTACAACCAGTGAGGTAAAGGCACATCTTTATATGGTTATAGTTATAAAAAAATAAGAGAATAAAGTAAACGGGTATAAAATAGCCTACTACATGACAGTAAAAAAAAGTTGTTATTAATAAACAAGAATACAGTTTGAAAGGGGAGTGATTTGTAAAATATCCATAAACAAAAAATTAAATCTGCTTACAGTTCTGTTTCATATGGGTGTTGAGAGATGTCTCCATAGATCTCTTCATTTTGCTCTCAAAGTGCACCAGATTGATGCTTTTAACTTCAACATTTAAAAAAAAAAGGAGCATGCCCCCCGGACCCCCCCAGAGGAGGTTAGCCCCCCCCCACTTAAATCATGTCCACATGGATAGGAAACTAAATACATTTGCACACATCTTGTGTCCATAATATCTATGTGTTTTGGTGGTCATGCCACAACCGTGCACGTGCATGCATGCGCGAGTCATGGTAAAATATCTGGATTAAGAGGTTGCTTTTTCTTTGCACAGCATGAAAGAAAGGCGAAATGAATGGGCTGTGATTTTAGTACTTTTAAGCAGAGGTCAATCATTTGTACTTTGATTGATTGATTCAAAAGTTGATTAACAGCTTGTATATTGGGTACAGTACAGTACAGCTCAAAACATACAATTGTTAAGGGGATGCAGACCAGAGAAAGACTTTCGTCTTGTTTACATCAGGGTCCCCCATTTCCAATTCATCATATCATTTAAGACATATAAGCAGGGCTGCACATAACTGGTGCGCAGGTGCGCATGCGCACCTCCGCCAAAAAAAGAGCACTGTGTCATTTGAAAAAAGGCGCATTTACGTACCAACATTGAGAGAGAGAAGGGAAAAGAGAAAAGAGAGAAGAGAGAAAAGAGAAGAGAGAGAGAGAGAAATATATTTGCGAGTTGCATATGAAGTCTATGATATGAACCTATGATATGAACTCAGGGCCGGCCCGTAGCACTGGCGTAATAGATGTTCGCCTAGGGCGCCAGATCTGGGGAGGCTGGCAGCTCTGGGAGGGAACAAACCATTTTTGACCGTTGGTGCTCATCCTAATTTTCGGCCTTGATGTAACAACATTCATAATTAAAACCCTTTGATACACAACATGGGTCAAAAGTGACCCGACAGGGTTTTAATTGTAAATATCTTTGCAATAAATTCATTTCACCGTTCAGAATTCCAGGAATTCCTCAAGTAACTTGTTTTTGATCATCATAAATTCTTATTTTCATTTTTACTTTTTTACTTTTTTAATAAAAATCATTTTTGTACGACTACCCCTCTAAAACACAACATGGGTCAAAAATGACCCGCATTCATTTCCTATGTTATTTCATGCATGGCTGTGTTTCTTTGCTCTATCTTTTAAAATCTATGTATTTAACCATTTAATATTACAAAGTATTTCTTACATATCTTGTTTTTGATTATCATAAATCATTATTTTCATTTTCTCTGTCTACATTTTGGAACTAACATAGTTTTTATATTACTACATCAAATTTACACACATGGGTCGAAAATGACCCGCATTCATTTCCTATGTTATTTCATGCATGGCTGTGTTTCGTTGCTATATCTTTTAAAATCTATTCATTTCATCATTTAATATTGCAAAGTAGCCTATTCATTAAATATCTTGTTTTTGATGACCATAAATCATTTTTTTCATTTTCTCTGTCTATATTTTGGAACTAAAATAGGTTTTGTATCACTACATCAAGTTTCCACACATGGGTCAGAAATGACCCGTGCAAGTGTGAATTTGATAGGAACCTTTGATTTATAAAATGTGTGCAGTTAGGAACATTTTTACTGTGGACAACTTTTCACTTGTCAGAATATGGCGCTGGTCAGAACTAAACAACTGGACAACATTTCACATTCCACTCTTGTCAGAAGGAAACAGGCTGCGTCTTCAGATCTGATTCATGTAAGTCTTGTTTTACAATTGTTTTACCTAAGATAACTGCACATAACATTTGAACAGTATCCTTACCTGTTGGGAAAGAGAAATATGACATTAGCATATTCTATTCTAGCTAGCATTACATTAGCATATTCTATTCTAGCTAGCTAATGTTAGCTTGTGTTAGCTAGGTCAATTCTAGATCGCGGTCGCTAATATTAGCTAATGCATACATGCCAACTCTCTTGCCAGATCATCTATGAAATGTAATCATGTCTTATACAATAAATACGCTATACTATTTTCAACCCATTTGTCAATCTGGAAATACATACATAATAATAAATAAATACATTTAAATACAGTCATATAAAGGTATAAGCTAATGTCAGCTAGGGCAACAAAATAAAACTTGAATTAGAAAAGTGTACTGTATAATTTATCAACTGATGTTGTAAATATTATTTAGATTTTCTTCATCCACAGTATGGCTCGTCACACTCATTCACGTTTCACGGCTGAAATGGTCATCGAGATGTTACATCAAGAACAGGATAAGGAAGATGGAGCAATCCTTGATTCTGACTATGAGTCTGACCTCTCTGATGATGAGTAGACTATGTGCCACAGGGTCAAGCTGAAGTTGCTGGTGATGAAGAAGACTCCTTGGACGAGCTAGAAGACTCGTCTGATGAGTCCTCTGAAGAGGAAACTCAGACCCAGGCCAATAGGCTAAGTAAAAAGGGGTCTTACTGGAATGAGAAACCCCCCACTCAAGGCAGAGCAAGAACCCATAATATCCTGAGGAGGTGTCCAGGACCCGTATCTGGTTCAACAATCATTTCACCAAAAGATGCCTGGGAGTTGTTCATTAGTGATAACATCATAGAGGAGGTTTTAAGATGCACTAACTT